ATCTAACAACTGAGAAACCTAATTTGCCTTGCATGAATACTATTGGATTATATACCACTAAAGAGAAGATTCACTCAAATAAGTTTTTAGCCCTTCTCAGGAAGATCAGGGTTATGATTTTCCAAATGGTACTGAATGCTATTTTACCCCAAAAGGTTATGGAGATTCTGGTTTTCCAAAAGGTTATGATCTCAAATAGCATCCTTTTCCAAAACATTTTTAAAACTATGTTTATGCCAGCTTGTAGCCAAGATTACAAGAAACTTTACCCAAAATAATAAAAAATGATTTTAAAATACAAGTCCCAGAAGCAATGGAGCAGGTATAAGTGCAGTAACAAAATAAGAAAGTTGGGTTCAAGGAATGCTGGATCCTTTGACAGAGCTGACTCAGTAAAATCAATGCAAACTAAGTTGGTCATGACTTACACAGTCCCATTTCTTTCATGAGATTTTTCTAGATATTTAGGATGTTTTTCATAAGTTTGAAATATGAACAATAACCTATATAGCTGCTTTGAGTCCCCTTCAGGGGAGATAAAGTGGGGTATAAATAAATATAATAATATAAATATGATATTTTAAAGTTGTAAAAACATTCCTGGGTTAATAAAAAATTAATGCCTGCCACCTAAAAGACAGTAAAATTTGTGGCATAATGAAAATCACGTGTAGCTCACGTTTTACCAATCCACATACTGTCTTGCCAGAGAAAGAAAATATGCCACACAGATGATCAGTAAAGAACAAGTCTTTGTAATGCAAAGTAACATATATACAATTATGTCAACCGTTGTATTGACTCACACAATGTTGTTTGAGAGAGATTCAAATGGTCTTTAGATGTCCATGTGGAAAATCTCCTTCCAGCAGCTCATGAAACAAGAACTGCCTCTCTCTGCTAGCTTCTGCATAGCTCAAGCCTAAATATGTAACTGTTGCCAAAACTCCCAGGCTCAGTTAGCTCCGCGAGCATGGCCCAACCAATCAGCTTTGTGTTTTGCATTTTTAGTTATCACACTTAACCAACTGAATTTGACATGCTCCAATAGAATTGACATCAGGTAGGCTGCTCTATAAAGGAAATCCCACTACTAGGTCGCTACTCCATCCCCACCTCAAGATTCTGCTGTGTTGAGAGACATGTCTCATATAAATATGATATTTGAAACAGGGAATCCACTAGAAATCTGAAGCAGATGGGAACATAGCCATAGATGTATGATGTTAGTGCTCTATAGGCAGGGTCACTGGAGGATTAGATAGTACAAGACCAACATCACATTAAGGATATTGACATTATTTCTGAAGTGCAAATTAGAGGTTTTCCAGAATGCCTTCCCCACCTTCCCATCATATCCTTAGCCACCGCATCCCACCAGATACCCACATGAATTGCTGAATAAAACCAAGGATGCTGAAAATAAGCGTCTGCATATTCAAGAGTAGCAATTAACTTTCTTCAAATCAAAAGAGACATACATGACCTGGAATTCTGAAAGGAGGACAGAAAATAGAGATTTCATTTAATGGTTGTTTTTGCTCCTATGTTGGGTTTTTATTCATTTTCCAGCATGTTTTCCTAGAAGGCTCACAGTTCTTGCCAACTTCAGATTTCTATGGGGAAGAAGCATCAGAAAATGTCGGGAGGAGATTACAACAAAGTAGGACAAAAATGTTTTAGTTCCAACAGAAATCTCAACATATTTTACCTGTTTCAAACAAAGATTCTGTCAACAGATTAAAATTTCCAGAGTTTCCTGCATTTTGGAAGTTGCAGTCCAAAAATACCGAAAAGATGAGTGTTTTCAGTTCTGCAGAGGGGATGAAAATTGTAAAGAAATGGATATACAAGTCCTCGAATTAAAAACATCCAACTTAAAAGTGACTCAGCTAAGAACGGAGGTGAGACGACAGAAAGTGAGAGAAATCTGCCCCAAGGAAGGGAAATTCACTCCTAAAAGAGTTGTCATAGGGAAAAGGTGTCTCAGCTGAAGCTTTATCACCAATCTTTGTTTCCACAACAAGACAAATTTTTCAAAATCCGATTATCACAGGAATAGAAAGTGAGGTGAAATTTTCTGGACAGGGATGTGACAAAATGAAAATCAATGCATAGTCCATGTTTGACCAGTCCACACACTGCCTTGCCAGAAAAAAAAATTATGTTGTGCAGATGATCAACAAAAAACAAGTAGTTTGCTTTTCATAATTCAGAACAACATATTTAAAAGCATGTGATCAGTTGCATCGACTTGCATAATGTCCTTTCATGAGAGTGTTAAAATGGTATTTCTTTGTCCATATGGATAATCTCCTTTAGCAGCTCATGAAGCAAGAGCACACTCCAAACTTTCTCTCTGTCTGCTTCTCTGCAAGTACCTGCATAGCTCAAGCCTGATAAATGTAACAGTATCCAAAAGTCCCAGGTTCAGCCATCTCCCTGGGCAAAGCTCAACCAATCAGCTTAATGCATCTTACTCTACAGTTGGCACACACACACACACACACTAATTAATTTCTTACATGTTCAAACAAGGGGCACACACAGCAAAGCAAACATCACAGGGGTGTTATGCAATCTAAAGCTAGCAACGCACACACATACTTGACTGGGTTTACACTTTAAAATGTGCCTGTTCCGACTTACATACAAATTCAATTTAAGAACAAACCTACAGTACCTATCTTGTTTATAACTTGGGGACTGCCTGTATATCCCATTAATTCCCTTCTTCTTAACAAACATATGCCTGAATATGAGTAACTAAATTCATGTCTTACAGGCAGGATTCTCCAAGGCATTTGTTAGCTAATGTGTGAACAGAATGCTGGAATAGGTAGATCATTAGTCCACCATGGCTGTGATGATTTTGTAAGAAGGTATAACAAAAACCTTTGTTAAGGTGTCCAAAGATACAGCAGTTTTCCTTCTAACAATGTTTGAAGCTTTGCTTAAATTTGTCCTCCCACTTCACCAAAACCTTATGCCACCTCTAGAGGTGAGACATCAGGAAGACTCTTGTGAGCATATTCATGTAAACATGGACAGAATTCTGTGTGTCTCTCTAGCTGCTCCATGTGGCGAGCAGCTTATTTCTGTATTGTTTAAACAGACTTTATATGCAGGAGTCTTTTCCCTAATGTATTTGTATGCAAAATATGCATGTTTAGGACCATTCTCATATCTGAGAAGCTATCATTAGCTTACCTTCAGCCACTCACAAAGGGGTGCAACCATATGAGCAAAAATTCACATAAAGTAGATTTATGGTTGTGTGCAGGAGCCCCCGGTGGCACAGTGGATTAAATCCCTGTGCCGGCAGGACTGAAGACCGACAAGTCGCAGGTTCAAATCCAGGGAGAGCGTGGATGAGCTCCCTCTATCAGCTCCAGCTCCTCATGCAGGGACATGAGAGAAGCCTCCCTCAAGGTTGGTAAAAACATCAAAAAATGCGGGTGTCCCCCGGGTAAGGTCCTTGCAGACGGCCAATTCTCTCACACCAGAAGCGACTTGCAGCTTCTCAAGTCGCTCCTGACACGACAAAAAAAAATTGTTTGTGTGCATATATAATATTGAGAGTGCCACATCAGTTACCATGGCCCTTTTTATCATGTGAGAAGCAACTTGAGAAACTGCAAGTCGCTTCTGGTAAGAGAGAATTGGTCGTATGCAGAGACGTTGCCCAGGGGACGCCTGAATGTGTTACCATCCTGTGGGAGGCTTCCCTCATGTCCCTGCATGAGAAGCTGGAGCTGACAGATGGGAGGTCACCCCATCTCGGAGATTCGAACTGCCGATCTTCAGGTCATCACAAGGGTTTAACCCAGTGTTTCTCAACCTTCCTAGTGCTGCGACCTCTTAATCCAGTTCCTCATGTTGTGGTGACCCCCAACCATAAACATTATTTTCATTGCTACTTTATAACTGTAATTTGGCTACTGTTATGTATTGTAATGTAAATATCCGACTTGCAGAATGCATTTTCATTCACTGGACCAAACTGGGCACAAATACTCGATACGTGGGGTTCGGGAGATTGATTTTGTCACTTGGGAGTTGTAGTTGCTGGGATTTATAGTTCGCCTACAATGAAAGAGCATTCTGAACTCCACCAATGATGGAATTGAACCAACTTTGGCACACATGACCTACAGAAAATACTGGAAGGGTTCAGTGGGCATTGACCTTGAGTTTGGGAGTTATAGTTCACCGATCTCCAGAGAGCACTGTAGGCTCAAACAATTATGGATCTGGACCAAATATTGGCACAAATACTCAATATGACCAAATCTGGACAGTGGTGGAATTTGGGGGAAATCGAGCTTGACATTTGGGAGTTGTAGTTGCTGGGATTTATAGTTCACCTACAATCACAGAGCATTCCGAACCACACCATCGAGAAAATTGGGCCAAGCTTCCCACGCAGAACCCCCACAACCAACAGAAAAATACTGAGTTTTCTGATGGTCTTTGGCGACTCCTCTGACACCCCCTCGCGACCCCCCAGGGGTCCCAACCCCCAGGTTGGGAAACACTGGTTTAACCCATTGCACCACCGTGGCTCAACACCATGACCCTTATCTGGTTGACTTTTTCCACAATATGTGCACTATGGAAACATTAATCTCTCTATCTCTCTCACATTTTTTCTTGCTAGAGTTTCAACTCACATGTGAACTGGACAGAAAGGCAATCATACTAGAAAGGTTCTTTTGAAAGCAGAACAAGTTCTTTCTAAGTAAACCTGATTTCTCTGGCTATTTTTTTGGCCCTCCCTTTTCTCCCCTTCCTCTTCCCTTGTATGTTTTGAGGGTTAATGTCTCTGATGCATTAACTGACAGAGCAATGTGACTTTTCGCACGGGTTCTCCATGTGCACAACCAGGCTGGATAAAACTTTTCAACCAGAGCAGACGGGACAGCTCCCCCTCCCCTTCTTCCCTCAGGGAAATCCTGGGAAGATTGCATCCCCCTCCCTCTCTCCCTCCCTCCCTCTCTCCTTCCTTCCCTCTTTCCATGACTCCCTTCTCTCTCCCTCTCTCCTTCATCCAGATCAGTGCATGCCCAAGGCAGCAGGGTCCCACTGCGGTGCTCTGTGCTCACATATTCCTCCAGCCCACTGCCTCCTCCTTCAAGCCCAGAGGAAACTCTTTCCGGGCATCTCAAGCTCATTGCCATGGCTGCAGCTTCCAAGAAGTCGCCTGTCACCTTTGTCCAGAGGGTGGGATCTGTCCTCTTCTTCCTTCACTTTGCTTCGGTCAAAGCTGACGGTGAGTTGTGCTCTTCAGTCTTGTATTGTTACTGGAATCCACCAGAGCCGCAGTCTTAAGGTATAACACACCGCAGAAAACTGTGGAAAGGAAGTCAGTTATGCGCAGCTATTTGAGGTTGAAAACTATGTTGGAAGTCAAAACTTTCATATTGCTCAAAAGGCTGGGCTGAGAAGGAAAAACAAAGTCTAAGAAAAGGCTTCAGGTTATGTTACTGAAACAGCAGAAGGCAGACCCCTACCTCTCCTCCGATATTCTTGGGTGAAATAAATTGAATTTATAACCATACAGTATAAGTGTGCAACATGCGTAATAAAAAAACAAAAATATTTCCCCCAAATACTGTTCTGCTCATAGTTCTGCCGTTTGGATTTCTCTTAAGATTTGAAAGCAACAAGGTATGTCTCATCATATTTTGTTCTTGTTTATTCTGTAACTAGAGCCTCCTCAATGACCATAATAAAGTCATTTATGTTTGTACTAGCTGTCCCCTGCCACGCGTTGCTGTGGCCCAGTCTGGTGATCTGGAAAATAATGAGAAGGTGTTGATTTCTAATATATGTAATTTCTTTATGCATGTAGGTAAACAGTATTTCTTGCTGTTTCTCTGTCAGTGTTGATGTGGAGATTGTCTGGTTTGCCCACTCTGGAACATGCAACATATAATTGTCCTTCTTTAGGGGTCCCTTTCAAATCTATGATACTATATCCATGTGTGTGTAAATCATATCTATCTATCTATATCTACGGCTGGATGGGTCTTTCTCAGGAGGGGTTTGATTACATTTTCTTGCCCTGGTGAAGTGAGTTGGACTGGATGGTCTTAAGGTAGTGTTTCTCAACCTGGGAATCAGGACCCCGGGGGGGGGGGGGGGGGGGGGGGGTGTCGCGAGGGGGTGTAAGAAGGGCCGCCAAAGATCACCAGAAAACTGTATTTTCTGTTGGTCATTGGGATTCTGTATGGGAAGTTTGGCCCAACTCTGTTGTTGATGAGGTTCAGCATGCTCTTTGATTGTAGGTAAACTATAAATCCTAGCAACTACAACTCCCAAATGTCAGGGTCTATTTCCCCCAAACTCTTTCTGTGTTTGTATTTGGGCATATGGAGTATTCATGCCAAGTTTGGTCCAGATCCATCACTGTTTGAGTCCACAGTGCTCTCTGGATGTAGGTGAACTACAACTCCCAAACTCAAGGTCAATGCCCATCAAACCCTTGTGTTTTCTGTTGGTCATGGGAGTCTTGTGTGCCACATTTGGTTCAATTCCATCATTGGTGGAGTTCAGAGTGCTCTTTGATTGAAGGAGTACTATAAAGCCCAGTCACTACAACTCCCAAATGACAAAATCAATTTTTGAGTGAAGGGCATACATTGGGATGTTAGGTGTCTGGTGTCCAAATTTGGTGCCAATTTGTCCAGTGGTTTTTGAGTTCTGTTAATCCCACAAATGAACATTACATTTTTATTTATATAGACTAGCCGTCCCCTGCCACGCGTTGCTGTGGCTCACATGGGGGTTCTGTGTGGGAGGTTTGGCCCAATTCTATCGTTGGTGGGGTTCAGAATGCTCTGTGATTGTAGGTGAACTATAAATCCCAGCAACTACAACTCCCAAATGACAAAAATCATTTTTTTTTGAGTGAAGGACATACATTGAGATGTTAGGTGTCTGGTGTCCAAATTTGGTGTCAATTCGTCCAGTGGTTTTTGAGTTCTGTTAATCCCACAAACGAGCATTGCATTTTTATTTGTATATATGGACATCACCACCACCACTACTGCTATTAACATTTTCATTAGTATTATTGATATTTGAGAGGGGAGTAACAAATCAATGTGTTGCACTTTTTATATAAAGTATTCAAAGATATTAACTTCTATTGGGTATTGATAATAAGCATTTATATCAGGATTTAATAAATATGAATGTCATGTTCCTGTTCTCTCCTTGATGAGTTTCTCAAAGAGAGTATAATAGGCTGAAAACCCAGTTCTCAGTCTTTCTCCTCAACGGTATGAACATGTGTCATTAAAACGAATGTTCATTTTTCAGCATCCAGCCTTTGCTGGAATTTGAAAACACAGGAGGGAAGGGAAAATACCAACCCTGAAGCCCTTCTGATGTCCTGGCATGTTTCCCATTCATGATACCTACCCCCCTCCTTTTTTAACGGTTTCAGAACATTTTTTTCCATATATTCAAACTGTCCAGTTGATTTTATTCTGGTAGTTTTATAGAGTGGAAGAAGGAGAAGGAAAAGAAAAGAACTAGGGATATCTAGGGTCAGAGCAAAGTTAATTTTGCCAAGCATCCAGGAAGGTAGCTAAAATCTATATAAATAAAAATGTAATGTGAGAGATATGTAATGTGAGAGAAATGTAATTTTGAGATATGGGATTAACATATCTCAAAAACCGCTGGGTGAATTGACACCAAATTTGGACACAATATACCAATCAGGCCAACGAATGACCATCACTCATAAAAACACTGAAAAACACAGCGGAAGGCACTTAAAAAGCAAAGATGCAAAAGGATGCTACAGCGCATATGCAAAAATGCCTTCCCCTGGCAAACAACACACACAATAGCATATCCACACTCTCTTCTAGACTACAGCTCCCAACATCCCCTACACCAGGCCCTTTAGGAGAGGAGGATGATCCAAATGCACTGCTTCCAAGATTCAAGCTCTTTTCTCCTTGGATTTCTTTGAGAGCATATTTCCAATTTCCTATTCCTGGACTGCAACTCCCACCAATCCTCCAGATAGATAAGATAGATAGTTTAGATGGAGATAGATAGTAGGTAGATAGATCAATCAGGAGGACTGCTGGGAGTTGCAGGCCAAGAATAGGTAGAGAAGGAAGAAAGGGAAGAGGAAGAGAAGGAAGGAAGAAGGAAAGAGAAAAAAGGGAAGAAAGGAAAGAGGGAGGGAAAGAAGGTAGGAGAAAAAGAAAGAAGGAGGGAAAGAGGGAGGGAAGGTTGGTCACAGCAATGTGTGGCGGGTACAGCTAGTCCATATTATCACATACTGTTGTATTGAAACATAGGTTGACACTAATTTCTCTTTTTAATATTATCCACTGTGACTGGGACATTCAGGATCACCATCTTAACCAACAATCTAGAAATCCCATTATCCTCTTCACGATTTATGGTGCAATCTCATTTTTTGACACCAAAATGTCAACATCTCAGCATTATACTATTTTCCTTATAGTGTTTTTATTTGAAGGAAACATTATGATTTAGTTTTTGGTTCCCACAGACTTGCAACACAAGCTTGGACAGAAGTAAATCACATTCTTTTCAATGGAGATTACTCCCAAGTGAGTATGTATATGATTGCAGCCTTAGTCTGGTTCCAGAAGGGGCAAATTTCCAGGTTTTACAGAATCCTTCTTTGGTAAAATGCAGACATGTATTTTCCACAGTAGAACAAATAGCAGCCTAGGCCTTTCATGCAGTGGGCCAGATCCAAGTTAGTCATGTTTTACCTTATATTGGATAGGGAAAGGAAAGTATCTGCAGATCAATTTACCATAGTTTAAAAAATAATAACTACAGGTGTTGCGTTGTGCGGGTTTTTTTGGGCCGTATGGCCATGTTCCAGAAGCATTCCCTCCTGACGTTTCACCCACATCTATGACAGGCATCCTGAGAGGTTGTGAGATCTGTTGGAAACTAGGCAAGTGGGGTTTATGTATCAGGGTGGAGGAAAGAACTCTTGTCTGCCTGAGGCAAGTGTGTATGTTGCAGTTGGCCAGCTTGATTAGCATTGAATAGGCTTGCACCTTCAAAGCCTGAACATTCCACAGATATATAAACCTCACTTGCCTACTTTCCAACAGACCTCACAACCTCTGAGGATGCTTGCCATAGATGTGGGTTAGGAGAGAATAATTCTGGAACATGGCCATAGAGCCTGAAAACTCACAGCAACCCAGTGATTCTGGCCATGAAAACCTTCGACTACAGGTGTCAATTCAAAGTAAAACCCTGGAGATTATATAGTGGCCCTTTGATCATCTACCATTTTCCAGGTCTAACTCACACCTCACTGTCATTTGTTTAGTCGGGAAAATTATTGCAACCTTCTCACTATGATATTTATGGTGCTGTGAAGGCTGATCTGGCTGGGGTGGCCCATGCCTTGGTCACCTCCAGATTGGACTACTGTAATGCTCTCTACGTGGGGCTGCCCTTGAAAACGGCTCGGAAATTCCAACTGGTCCAGCGGACGGCAGCCAGGTTGTTAACTGGTGCTCCTTACAGAAAGAGGTCAACCCTCCTGTTTAAAGAGCTCCATTGGCTGCCGTTCATTTTCCGGTCCCAATTCAAGGTGCAGGTGCTTACCTACAAAGCCCTAAATGGTTTGGGACCCGCCTACCTGCGTGACCGCATCTCCGTATATGAACCCACACGATCCCTCCGATCATCAGGAGAGGCCCTGCTCACGATCCCACCTGCGTCGCAAGCGTGTTTGGTGGGGATGAGGGACAGGGCCTTCTCTGTGGTAGCCCCCTGACTCTGGAACTCTCTTCCCAAGGACATCAGACAAGCCCCAATGTTGGCAGTCTTTAGGAAGAGTTTGAAGACCTGGCTGTTCCAGTGTGCCTTTCCAGAATAGGAAACTCCTAGCATCATGTCCCAGTTGCACTTTATTAGAGATTTAAGATTGTCTGCACACCGCACCTACCTCTAAAAACCTATACATTCCACCTGTCATGTCCAGCACTTTTAAATTTTATTCATTACATTTGGCCCGGCCTTTAGTTTTAACTGTGTCATGGTGTTATTGTTTTAATGTTTATTGTTATTGCTTTAATGTTTATTGTTTTGCTTTATGAGTTTTATTGTTGTATTTGTTATGCTGTTGTTTTCTTGAGTTCCTTGGCCTTTGTAAGCCGCACCGAGTCCTTCGGGAGATGTTAGTGGGGTATAAATAAAGATAATAATAATAATAATCTTGTTGACCAAGGGCAAGATGGATGCATGTTATCCTTGAAGTGACTGGCTTGACTCTGAAGGAGCTGGGGGTGGTGACGGACGACAGAGAGCTCTGGCGTGGGCTGGTCCATGAGGTCACGAAGAGTCAGAAGCGACTGAACGAATAAACAACAACTATCCTCTCCCAGTGCTATGATCCTAGTATGGATTGGGGCTTTTGATAGCCATTGTGGTGTAGTGGCCTGAGTATTAGTCAATTACTGGAGACCAAGGTTTGAATTTTTGCTTGTCCTGGAAATCTACTAGGTGAGCCTTGAGCAAGTCACACTTTCCCAACTTCAGAGGAAGGAAGACCTCCTCTCAACAAATCCTACCAAGAAACTTCCATGATAAGTTCTCCATACCAAACGTTAGAAACGACTTGAACGTATGCAACAACAACAAAGATGTTGCAGGGCTTGTAAGAGCTATATCTTGTGACCTCATCTCCCAGATCTCATAACTAGCCTAACATAATTGAGGGCATTACCCATATGAACAGAAATTCTGCTCTTCCTTTATATTTTGCTTCAGTCTCCAATTTTCTAGTTTTGTAGTAACATCACATTTTCATTGAGCATTTAGAAACACAGTCTATGCATCCAAAGAAAGGGACTGGCAACTTTATGAAGGAATCTGAATGTAATAATTCTTGGTGGCAATGATATTCCCTCTCTTCATTATTAGAAATTGAGAGACTAGGGACACATTTTGGCAAGGGAGGGAAATAATTCTTATCTGAGAAGCAATGTCCTCAAAGTTTCCCTTTAGCTACACCAGTAGAAAGTCAGAGGCAAACTGAATTGAATTAGTAACTTCCATTGATTTCAATTGCATTTGTTTTGCAGGTAGGTGTGGTTGGGATTGTCATCTTCAATTGGAATCCTAACCACAGCTATTAAAGCATAATTTCCCTTGTGTTCAATGTAACTGATATGCTTACATACTACATACTACATGGATATCCCCTTATGGGGGATCTTAGCCAAAAGGCCGAGAAGAGATGTGGCCGTATGTGTTACGGCTGTATGTATTTTCAAGTTGCCTGTCAATGTATGGGCACATCAACACTGACCATTTAATGCAGTTGATTGCAAACTGCAGGGGCTACAAAACTCATGGTGGCAAAACATGCTGCAGAATTAATCAAGGACAGTAAAGTGCATTGAGCAAAATTGGAGGAAAGACCGAGTTAAGCCCCTTAATGCACATTAGTAAACCCCAAATCTAAACCGACATATCTCTGGTTGTACTGATCCATTTAGCACAATTCCAGAAGTTAGACAGAAGAAATAAGGAATTATTTTTAAACAAGCAATGCATGGAAGTGGAAGAAGACAATCGAATAGGAAGGACAAGAGACCTCTTCCAGAAAATTAGAAACATAGGAGGTAAATTTGAGGCAAAAATTGGCATGATCAAAAATAAAGATGGCAAGGACCTAACAGAAGCTGAAGAGATCAAGAGAAGGTGGCGAGACTATACAGAAGATCTGTATAGGAAGGATAATAATATTGAGGATAGTTTTGATGGTGGAGTGAGTGAATTAGAAGCAGACATCCTGAGGAGTGAGGTTGAATGGGCCTTAAGAAGCATTGCTAATAACAAAGCAGCAGCAACAACAACCACTTGACCATGGACCACTTTGACCAGGGATCACTCTCCAACATTAGTACCAAAAAGGTTCCGAATCGGTTTTTGGTCAAATTTAGATTTGGTTTGGGTTATTTGGGGTGCTGATTCAGAAAATTGCATTGGATAGACCACATCAACTCTAGTTTCTGATACAGAACATATGCCATCTAGTAGTTGCCATCTGCTCACCCACAGAAAACCATATTTAATAAGCCTCGGCACTGTAAGAGGGCCATGGACCATATTTTAGTCCTTGAGGACCACTGGTGGTCCATGGACCACAGGTAGGGAACCACTGATCTACATAGTGAAATCAGTTCATCCAAACCAATTCCAAACTGACCTAAGTGGTCAGTGTAAATCTGTTCTAGCATAACCCCATGGATTTCGCAGGGTTTTCTTAGACAAGGACTATTCAGAGGTGGTTTTGCCACTTCTTTCTTCTGAAATATAGTCCACAACACCTGATATTAATTGTTGTTTTCCTAGCCAAGTATTAACCAAGGCTGACTCTTCTTAGCTTCCAAGATCAAACAACATCTGGTGTCTGTAACTCCCTAATACAGGCATAAGAACATTTCAAAGGTCTTCTGTCCTTATGAGAGTATATCTATTTTCAGGCAAAGCTTTATTCTCATATTAATAAAGTGCTAGTTTTAAAAAGTGCAAAGAGACAGATAAAACATTTTAACATATCCTCTTCTGATGCCATCACAGCATATGTTCTTCTGTTGCAGCTGAAATACTTAAGGATGGATTAAGAACCTCAAGTGCCTTCTTTAAACTAACAGATCATTCCAAGGTTTAAATTTTAGCACCAGGTCTTAGGTTTTATAAGCAGGATATGCATTTGTTAATGGTGTTGGAAGAATGGAACGGATACATGGGTTCTCTAAAGACTTGTTTCTTCATTCGCTTTTCCTGTATAAAAGTTTTATTGTAAGCATTAGTGGAGTCACTAAAGGTTATTTCAGAATCACTCTGTGAGACCAACAAAGATGAAATCAAATTGTTAAAATATAAATTCTGTTCTCTTAAGGCATTTACCATTAAATGCCAGACTTTTTATGTGGATGGAGTTTATTTCTTATATCTGTTCTGGGAGTTTGCCCAGACGCCATGCAATAAAGACAAGCACTAAGTTTTTTAACAGTTCTCAAGTTATTCTATTTCCATTATAGTGGTGGTAGGCTTTGAATAATAATAACAATTCCTAACAGCTGGTAAACTGGCTGGGATTTCTGGGAGTTGAAGTCCAAAACACCTGGGGAAGCACTATCTGAGAAACACTGTATTAGTCTATACCAGTGGTTCCCAACCTGTGGTCCATGGCCGCTAGTGGTCCGCAAGAACTAAAATATGGTCTGCAGCCTCATCATTACAGCAAGAGCAAAACCCTCTTATAGTGCCAAAGCTTATTAAATATGGTTTTCTGTGCGTGAGCAGATGGCGACTACTGGATGGCTTATGTTCTGTATCAGAAACTAGAGCTGATGTGGTCTATCCAATGCAATTTTCTGAATTGGCACCCCAAATAACCAAACTGAATCTAAAGTTGACCAAAAACTGATTCACAACCCTTTTGGTACTAATGTTGGGGAGTGGTCCCTGGTCAAGTGGTCCCTATTCAAATGGTCCCTGGTCAAGTGCTCCCTGGTCAAAAAAAGGTTGGGAACCACTGGTCTATACCCTTTTCTTTTCTTCTCCCCATGTTCCTTCTTCTTGACTTTCCTCTTCCTCCACCTGGTACCAGTATTCATTTAGTTTGTACATGTTCTTTTTCTTGCTGTGTGCCTTCAAGTTATTTTTTTACTTATGGCGATCCTACAGTGAACCTATCACAGGGCTTTTTTTGGGGGGGGGGGAATTGTTCAGAGGCGGTTTGCCTTTGCCTTGTTCTCAGGTTGAGGCTCCTTCACTGTCCTTATATTCTAGTATCTGATCCCAGATTATATGCTTATACCACTTTATATGACAGTGGAGACTCATATAACCCAGTTCAAAGCAGATAACCAGGGATCAGATCCTGGGATAGAAGAACAGTGTAGAAGGGGCCTGAGTGACTAGCCCACAGTCACCCAGTGATATCCAGAGTTACTGTTCAGTGCTCAAACCCAATGCTATGCTGACTCTCTTCTAAACAATACATTTTCTGCCTCCACACAAGTACTTTTCCTCTTTCCCCAACTTCTTTCATTTTTATTTCATTTTCTTTCATCTTTTAACTTGAGCTTCTCCTACGTTTATGGACTTACATGTAAACTTGTTTATTTTCCTGAAACTGTTAAAATCCTTAGGTGTTTCAATAGGTGGTTAGATTAGTGATCAGTATATCTATTTTTATTACATTAGTTATCTTAACACAGGAGAGGACATCTGCCTCTTTCTTGATTATACTGTTGATATTGCTATAGTTTCTGATAGGATTCTAGGAGCTGTAGCCCCCCAAAAGTAATTTTTCCACTCTGTGGTAAAGATTGCAGCCTCACAGAGGTAGGTTTTCCAAAACCAATAGTGTTGACTGTGCGTATGATGCATTTGGTTGGTTTTCTCTTGCCTTATAGGGAAGTTGTTTGCCGTTGGACCCAGGAACGGCACCCAGAGTCTGGACCTTGCCATGGCTCAGCAATCATGTGCTGCCTTTGGAGCTTATTTAGCCAGTGCAGAAGAATTGAAGAAAGCCATTAGAGACTGTTCCTTTGCTGTCTGCACTACAGGCTGGCTAACGGATGGCACTATTGGGTAAGAGAGAAAATAAACCATGAAAATACCCTCTGTTTAAAACAAATATTCTTCTCAAAATAGTATTATTTTGGTGGCACAGGCTCATACGATAATACAGACAGAGTGGTTATTTATTTATTTATTTATTTATTTCGAGTACTTCTACCCCGCCCTTCTCAACCCCCGAGGGGGGACTCAGGGCGGCTTACAAAAGGCACAATTCAATGCCTACACAATAATACAGATAAACATATATAAACAACAATTAAACCATTATAACAGTTAAAAACAATCAATTATATATCACAGTCAATAAAATCAATCTCATGCTCAACGTTCGCCAGCTCAGAATCCATAAATTCATTCCACATTGTCCATTCCTATCATTCGTTGTTGTCCTTTATTTATCTGCCAGATTACCCAAATGCCTGGTCCCAAATCCAATTTGTAATTTCCTTCTAAAGGAAAGGAGGGATGTCGATGATCTAATTTCCCCGGGGAGTGAATTCCACAGGTGAGGGGGCCAGCACCGAGAAGGCCCTGCTCCTCGTCCCCACCAATCTCACTCGTGATAGAGGCGGGGCCAAGAGCAGGGCCTCCCCAGAAGATCTTAAACAGTCAGTTTTCCTGTGAAAGCAAGGATGGCCTCGGAGTTTGCTTAGATTACTCTGATAACTTACAACTTTCAGAATCTTTGGCTGGGAGATTATTGGTGTTACAGTCCCAAAATATAGCTTTTCTAGATTTCGATGGCCCACTTTGGATCATGGGTCCATTAAGAACAATTGCTATAGAGCTACCATGAGTCTCAGTTGATGGAAAGTTTGGTATGTTCACTATCTCCAATCTTATGGTAAGCAATGATGTAGACAAGGGGAGGGAATTATGGTCCTGGGGGTGCATCCCAGGGCCACATTTTTTATAAACCCTTCTTAGATAAAGCTGCCATGCCACAACATCTGAAAGTTAGAGCAAATTTTGAACTATGGTCCCTTGTATGTGATATGTTTATTCCAAGTTGAGCATTCATATTGGACTTCCACCATGACACATGTGGGATATCTGTTGGATAGTGATGTCTATATCAACAGCAGCTAATGCCTTCCATGTCAGTAGATTGGTGAATCCATATTGGGTTTTAGTCTGAAAGAGTTATCCCATATACCAGTGGTTCTCAACTTGTGGGTCCCCAGGTGTTTTGGCCTACAACTCCCAGAAACCCCAGCTAGTTTACCAGCTGTTAGGATTTCTGGGTGTTGAAGGGCAGAACATCTGGGGACCCACAGGTTGAGAACCACTGCCATATACTAATCCTATCTGGCAAACAACATTCAGCACGTTGGATAGCTCCTTTAAAGTTTGAGAGGAAACCAGAGCAATTTAAATATGTAAGATATTATGGCAGACTTTAGTAGTACTTTGAAGAAATAAAGTTCACAGAACCAGAATAGTCATTATTAATAGAATAGTCATGGATTTCTGCCCGCCTCTGGATGTCCCCAAAATATTTTAACTGATTTCTACTACTGGACAGTTCATACTATTTACTCCAATAGGTATCACTCATCTAAGCCACTTCTAGGGGTCCAATACAGCCACCGCAACTACCTTTCACAGCTTGTCACCCCATGCAGAGACCTTTTTACCAGATGACTATGAAACACCAATCTTTGCTCCTCCAGCTATTTTGGCAAGCTGGTTGGGATTTCTGGGAGTTAAAGTCCAAACAATTGGAGGACCAAAAGTTGGAAACCACTAATCTAAGCAGTGAGGCAGTGAATCCATTGCATGTCTTAGTCTGAGTGTCAAAGGAGCTAGACAAAATATTGAATCTAAAATTCAGCACCATGACTAGCTCTATTAAGGTTAGACTAAAATCTGCAGTGGATTCACTGCCTTGCTGACATGGAAGTTTATTATTTATTTAATTTATTTACCATATTTCTATCCTGACTTTCTCACACCAAGGGGGACTCAGAGCTGCTTACCTCTTGGCACAATTCGATACCACATCAAAGCACATTTATAACAATTTATAAACACATTAAACAGTAAATCATTAAACATAAAACCATAATATATAAATACAATTAAAACAAGATTTAAAACAACAATTAAAAAAATCTCACATACTCCATAATCAGAGTTCATGAGCCATTCCAGTTATAGTCACATTAAATCCCAGCTGTCTGTTGTATTGTAGCTAGTCTCCAAACGTCTCGTTCCAAAGCCAGGACTGATCTCACATCACTATGAAAGGAGTTCCATAATTGAGGGGCCATTATTGAGAAGGCCCTGTCCCTCATCCCCGCTAGCCACATCTGTGCAGGAGATGGAAACGAGAGCAGGGCCTCCCCAGAAGATCTTAACGCCCATCCTGGTTCATAGGGGAAGATGTGTTTGGGCAGATAAGCTGGACCAGAACCATTCAGGGCTTGATAGGCTAAAGTCACTACTTTGAATTGTGCTTGGAAGCAAAATTGGCAGCCAGTGGAGCTGACGTAGCAAGGTGGTTGTATGCTCCCTGTACTCAGCTCCAGTTAACAATCTGGCTGCCGTCCGTTGGACTACTTGAAGCTTCCGAACAGTCTTTAAAGGCATCCCCACACAGAGTGCGTTGCAGTCGTCTATACGAGCTGTAGCAAGAGTGTGAACCACCATGGCCAAGTCTGGCTTCTCAAGGTATGGGCACAGTTGGCGCAAAAGTTTTAATTGTGCAAAAGCTCCCCTGGCCAACACTGAAACCTGGGGTTCTAGGCTCAGTGATAAATCCAGGAAGACTCCCAAGCTGTGAGCCTGTGATTTCAGGGGGAGTGTAACCCCATCCAGCATAGGCTGTAACTCTATACCCTGTTCGGCCTTTCGATTGAGCAGGAGTACCTATGTCTTGTCTGGATTCAATTTCAATTTGTTCACCCTCATCCAGACCGTCACAGCTGCCAGGTTGTCAGCTGAGAACAAGGCCATAAAATATGTAGACAGAGATGTGGAAAAGTAATTCTGCCTAAAATTTATTCAGCTACTGGGTATTGACTTGTTTTCATCCAAAGCAGCACTACATCCAAAGTTTCTTGTAATGAAACATACAAGAAATTGTAGAACTAGCTAATCTTGAGTCAATGCTGAATGTGTTAAAGGCAGTAAGGATAAGATATATTACCAACTAGATTAAAAGGATAAGGAACAACATTGCATTATTAAGGAAACGTACATAGTTTCTACATTTCATGTTATTTAAGGAATTAGATAAGTTTATTTAGACATAACGTCACTGAGTTTTGGATGATATTTTTTCAGACTAAATTAGATTTAATTTCTAAATTTGTTTTCCTGTTTATAATATGTGCAAGAAAAATAAAATATGAACTTTTATTACATAAAACATGGACTTCCTTTCTTCAGTTCTAGGGAATATGATCCTATTTAGTCTTTGTGATTCTCTTGAGCCAGGTGCTTTATGAATTCAACTGTGAGATGTTAAAAATGAAACTAAATGCTAGTGTTCAAAGTGTATCCATCCTTCAAAAGGAAATGTGTTCATTTTAAAGGAGGGCATAATTTCAGCATGACCCTGAGAATTTTCACTTACTTGAGTATCCTTTCTTCCACTTAAAAGCTCAATATGCAAAGAGATATATTTCCCCTTACCCACAGAGTTTTTGCACATGGATTTACTTTATTATTATTATTATTATTATTATTATTATCATCATCATCATCATCATCATCATCATCATCATCATTATTATTATTATTATTATTATTATTATTTATGACATTTATATGCCGCCCTTCTCACCCCAAAGGGGACTCAGAGCGGCTTACAAGGTATATAATAATAATAATAATAATAATAATAATAATAATAATAATACTTTATTTATACCCCGCTACCATTTCCCCAAGGGACTCAGTGCGGCTTACACGAGGCCGAGCTCACAATACATCAGCAAAAAACAACAGCAGTAATACAAAACAATAAAATAAAGCTCATAAACAAAAATAGGCAGTAAACATCGACAATAACACAGTAACATTTAAAAACTAATGGCTGGGCCAAATGTAATAGTTAAAATTTTTAAAATAATGCTGGACAAGACCAGGTGAAATATAACTAGGATAGAATTTTGGAAAAGAATGGGGCGTACAGACTGTTCTAGATCACTAATAAGGTGCAATTAGGGACATATTGCTGGGAATTTCCTTATTCTGGGAAGGCACACTGGAACAACCACGTTTTCAAGCTCCTCCTAAAAATTGCCAAAGTTGGGGCGTGTCTGATATCCTTGGGGAGTGAGTTCCAGAGTCGGGGGGCCACCACCGAGAAGGCCCTCTCCCTCGTCCCCAACAATCGCGCCTGTGATGGAGGTGGGAGCGCGAGTAGGGCCTCTCCAGATGATCAAAGAGATCGTGTGGGTTCATATACAGAAATGCGGTCATGCAGGTAGGCAGGTCCCAAACCATTCAGGGCTTTATAGGTAAGAACCTGCACCTTGAATTGGGACCGGAAAATGAACGGCAGCCAGTGGAGCTCCTTAAACAGGAGGGTTGACTGCATACAATACATTATACTATTAGCATAGTACAATATCAGCATTAAACACTGCTATATTGTACTATATCAATTATATTGTATATTTTACTATATGTTTAAACTCTCACCCATTTGGCAAAATCCAGCTGTGTTTGAAATATGTATAAAACACATTTCAATAACTAGGACAGTGTAGAGACCACACAAAGAATGGAATTAGTAATCAGTATGCATTTAAAAGACAGATTATTCTGCCTTGTCAAAACATGCTTGCATGTTATCATCTTTTTATGATCTGAAAAGCCATTTGGAAAACATTGATAACGGTGAACTGACCTCATCAAAAGTTAGTTTGGGATGAAAAATGAGAGCAAAGCAAATTGCCTTAATTTGGAAAATGAGAAGGCCTAAGGCAATGTTGTATGTGTTGGAATATTACAGCAACATAAGAAACATATACACACCCCAAATGTGGCACAAGGCACATAATTTAGCACTCTGATGACAAAACCTCAGTTCTCCTAAATAGCAAGTTTTGAATACTTACCTTCATAAAGATTCATTTGAAAATGTATTTATGAAGACTGAAGGTCAGTCTACTGAAATCACTGAGGTCAGTTAAGCAATCAGCAGTCATATTAAGAAAATGCCCATTGTCTTGGTGGCTCTGGTGGCTTTGGTACCCTGAAAAGCTGTTTGCTCCACTTTGTGAATTAAATTAATTCTGCAAAACAAAATAGATCATGCAAAATTATATCTACTGATAGTCTTCACATTCACAAGTAACCTATCACACTGACTCAACTTCAGAGGGAGGCAGCAGCAAACCTTTGAATAAATATAGTGACTCTGTACCAGGGTCACCATAACCTTAGAGATGACCTGAAGACATGTAATAACAATTATTTTATATTATTTATTTATTTAATAATAACTATTATTTTGTATTGATTGATCCTTAAAAGGCTGCTGCTGGGTGGGGGTGGGTAGAAATAGAAAATGTAACTGGATCATCTATTTCCCAGACATTCCTACCCATTTGATGCATTTTCATTCACAACTTCTGATCATCTTTTTGTCCTTTCCCCCTGTTTTAGGACAACTGTGTGCAATAGGACAGGCAGCAAACCACAAAGCGTGAAAGTGGTTGATGTTCAGATTGAAACGGATCCCTCTCCAAGTGGCAGATACAATGCTATTTGTGTGAAGGCTGAAGGTCAGCACTGATTCACTTTTAAATTCAGCTTAGCAAAGTTAGATTTGTAGACTGCGCTGCTTTGAATCCTCCAGTCAGCCTGGCCACTGGTACACACAGTCCAAAAGTTACGAACACGATAGCTTCTGTTGGTTTGTTGAGTTTGTATGTAAGTTTGAACAGGTACATTTTTAAGTGTAACTGCAGCCAAAGATAGAGGAATAAAACACACCTCTCATTCTCTCTCTCTCTCTCTCTCTCTCTCTCTCTCTCTCTCTCTATATATATATATATATATATGTATATATATATAAATGTAATGTTTGTTTGTGGGATTAAGATAACGCAAAAACCACTGGACGAATTGACACCAAATTTGGACACAAGACACCTCTCAGGCCAACGAGTGACCATCACTCATAAAAACACTGAAAAACACACCAGAAGAGACTTAAAAAGCAAAAAAAAATAACACATTACAAAGCATGTTCAAAACCACATATATGCACAAACATACATATACACAAATATATACGCATATATGCATATATATGCACACAAAGCACATGTACACAGAAAGGGGGAAGGAACGAAGGAAGGAGAGAAGGAGGGAGAGAAAGAGGGAAAGAAGGAGGAAAGGAGAGAAGGAAGGAAAGAAAGGAAAAGAAGGAAGGAAGGAGATAAGGAAATAAAAAGTGAAAGAAGGAAGGAAAGAGAGAGGGAAGGAAGGAAGTAGAGAAGGAACAAAAGAGGGAGGGAGGGAAGGAAGGAAGGAAGGAATGACACAAGGAAGGGTGGAACCAAAGAGCAAAGGGAGGGAGGAAAGAAACAGGTAGAGAAGAAAGAAAGAAGAAGGGAAAGGAAAAAAAGAGGGAAGGAAAGAGGGAGGGAAGGAAGGAGAGAAAGAGGGAGGGAAGATTGGCCACAGCAATGCGTGGCGAGTACACCTAGTGTGTGTGTATGTGTATATATATATACACACACACACACACACACACATGCACACATGCTTTGGGTAGCATAGGGAAGGCTTAACACACCTGAAGTATTTTGTTTTGCTGTTTGTTCCCCGTTCAGAAGATTTCACCTCACTTTCTGTCCTTCTGATAATAGAATTTTGAAAAAATTGGTTTGTTGTGGAAACAAGGATTGATGAGAAAGCTTCATTGGAGATCCTTTTCTCCATGATAACTCTTCCAGGGGTGAAATTCCCTTCCCTTGTCTCATCCCCATTTGTATAAGCCATTTGTAAGTTGGATGTTTGTAACTTTGGGACTGTATTTATAGTCCAAAACACCAACTTTTCTAAGTTTGCCTATTGGAACAATCACTACCACAAGTCACAAGAAAAAACATGTTTTTTCTCCAAGGTTTTTAAAATTAGCATCATTTATTAAATGAATGAAATACAGTAACTTGGAGCCCCGATGTCATTTCTAAGCTAAATGCTAGTTCTAGCATAAGCCTTCACAGTGTGTCCATTTCAAAACACCAACAAACAGAGGCAAGATTATGGAACTGTAGTGTTGGAAGAAAGCAAAAAGACTAGCCATGCTGGTCTCACAACCTATCAGCCCCTCTCATGTTAGATTATGGAGTCAAGGTCAAAAAATATAGCTCAGGTCTAAGTATCTGAAAAATCATAACCTTTCGTATGAGTCTGCTTTGAAGCTTTCTGCAGAAGGTGTTTTCTCTCTGTACTCAGGGGCGGCTCAACTCATTACGCAAAGTAAGCATTTGCGGTATAGTTGATTTTGCCCAGGGGCGCTCTTGAGGCACTTTTGGGGGAAAATCGACCTTGACATATGTGAGTTGTAGTTACTGGGATGTATAGTTCACCTACAATCAAAGAGTATTCTGAACTCCACCAATGATGGAATTGAACCAAATATGGCACACAGAACTCCCACAACGAACAGTAAATATATATCAGTGATTTGGGGGGGGGGGGGGGGATACTGTTTGCTTACCATTGAAAATTACCTAGGGCCGCCTCTGTCTGTACTACCACTCTAACAGAAATATCAGTTAGGAATGTAGAAGAGGACCTTATTAGTGTTTACTCCTTTCCTAGAAGTTACACTTGTAGTCTCCCTTTTGTCCCTCTGTATAGAGCTGTACAGATCTTCTGCTTTTGGCAGTCATTTACTGGTTGATGGCTCAGGGAGGAACAGTGTTTTCAAAATGACCCGTGCAATTTATTTGTTGTTTTTCTTTCCAATTGTTATGTTTTAGTTGTTTTTATAATTACGTTGTTAGTTTAATTCATTTTTTTATTTCTGTAAGCTATGAATTTTAAAGCTGCTTTAACCTTTGTAAGCTGTCTTGAGTTCCAGACTGAGAAAAAGTTGGGCAATAATAATAATAATAATAATAGGGCAGAGCTTGAAAAAGAAAGTGCATGAGTACTAAGCAGTGAGCAGATGTACAACATGAGATAATTGAGACCCAATTCTATGATTGTAGCTATCTGACCCTTCTTCACCCTCCCAAAAATAATCAATGTCAGAATTATCTTAATATAACATAAAACACAGCTGGAACCTATGCTCAGTTTTAATTATAAACATTAGTTCATGTTTCACAATAGATTTAGTTAACTCTACAAAGAAATCCACAAGGGATTGAAATCCCACCCCATTGCTGATATGTGTCTTAACATTGATGTATGTACAGTGACTCTATCCTAATGTTTTCTTGGCAAGATTTATTCCAAGAAGGTTTGTTTGTCATTGCCTTCCTTTCAGGATGAAAGGCTGCAATTCGTTCAAGATCACCCAGGGGGGTTCCTCAGCTGAACAGAGATTTGAACTAGAGTTATAGTCCCAATCTCGAAATCACTCCTGCAAATAATATAATAATAATAAACTTTATTTGTATCCCACTCCAACTCCCTGATGGGGACTCGGTGCGGCTTACATGAGGCCAAGCCCAAAACAACAATTACATGAAATAAAACAAAACCGAAAACGTAAATAATAAACAATAATAATGCTATTATATAAAACAAAGACAACATAGCAATATAAAATTACCACAATAACATGGGCGAGCTACATGTAATGGTTAAAAGAAAGCTGGGTAGAAACAGATTAAAAACTCAGGCGAGATAAACACGAGATGAACAAGGACAGATTATTTGCGGAGGAGAGCTCGTTTTGGTGGAGGCCGTGAAGCAAAGCTTTCCTATAGGGGGGGATGCACTCCAATAACAGAAACCATTAAAACTAAGCACTAGTATGAGGATGTAAATCTATTCATCAAATGCGCAGCGGAAGAGCCAGGTTTTGAGGTTCTTTTTAAAGGTTTCTAGAGTAGGGGCTTTCCTAATCTCTCCAGGAAGTGAGTTCCAGAGTCGGGGAGCCACAGAGGAAAAAGCTCTCTCCCTTGTACTCACCAGACGAGTCTGGGAGACTGGCAGGGGCATAAGAAGGTCCTCTCCAGAAGAACGGAGGGCCCGAGATGGTTCATGGAGAGAGATACGGTCACGAAGGTAGGCGGGACCCAAACCGTTTAGATCTTTATAGGTCCCAAAGTCCAATTGAATGTGAGGTCTGAGCAGTCTCGGAGCCTAATCATGTGGTCTGCAGCCCCTTCCACAACTTCTCAGGAAACAGAGCAAAGGAAAGAAAGCTGCATATCAGAACAAAGCAACTCAGAAGCTCACTCCTGTTGCTTTTGAGTTTTCTTCAGTACAGCTTTTTTGGAAAATGGCATTCATAACTATTTGAAGATCATAACCTTTTGGAAGAGGCATGATCTTTCAGAGAAGAGCCAAAAACCCATTTGAATAGAATATTCTCAAATAGTACACAACCAGATGTAATTATGCAATTTGGCTTTCAGTTGTTAGACTGACACTGTTGTCTCTAATCTGTTAGGAAACATAGAGAAATGCCAGTGCACAAAATAGAAGTGCATCAGAAGTGTTTTTCAGTTGCCCAAAAATACATTTACTCTCCCATATCACACACTCAAGAGACAAAATGAAGTAGACTTTGGTAAAAAAAAAAAAACCTGGTTCACTCACAACCTTCATGTGTTCAGCATACACAGGCTCAAAACTTATCAGTTCAGTTACAGATATGTTTGAGATAATCTCTGTGTGCAGATGGCACAAGGCATCTTTCTTACAATCAACAGCAGGCATGTGTTTGTCTGTGCAGTCCCAAAGTCCAATTGAATGTGAGGTCTGAGCAGTCTCGGAGCCTAATCATGTGGTCTGCAGCCCCTTCCACAACTTCTCAGGAAACATAGAGCAAAGGAAAAAAAAGCTGCATATCAGAACATACATACAATAAGTAAGCAACAGGATTATATATAAACAAATTACTAGAAAAGGCTTGAAGAAGGTTGTGATTTCCAACAAGTATTGCTTGTATATTTATAAGTTTGTAACCTTCTCTCTTCTCCTTTGCTGTTCCTGGTAATGAGTACTTCAGAGTCTAGTATCCCCCCCCCAAAAAAAAAAAAGATTGTGTCATCTACACAGGCAACTATTTGGTTTCTCATGAACTGGTAGGGTTAGTGTGTAACTATAGACCTCCAAATATTGCTAGGGATCTCACAACAGAAGCGACTTGCGGTTTCTTAAGTCACTCCTGACATGGAAAAAAAATCTAGAATGAAATATAAACAAAAAAAATCTGTCTTCTTCTTTGCCTTGTGTCCTTAACATATTGTTTTAATGTCTGTGTTTGAGCTTCTCAGCCCTTGAAAAAAGATATGCAAGAGACACAAATATCAATACAGTTGGCATCACCCAGTGGTGACACAGATTTGCAGGGATGTGTGGGGATTTTTCGTCCAAAGTTGTATCATTGTTGGTGCTCTGGCACTAACTGAAGTAGCTGGGAGTAGGCATTTTGGTCTAAGTTTAATGATGCTCCTTAAAATGATCATTTATGCTCGACCAAGAAAATGCATCACTAAAAAAGAAGAGAAAAAGGACGTAGAACTGCATAAAATGCCTCTTATAGAACCACTAAAATTTAAGTACAAATATAGTACAAATTTAAGTA